GAAATAGTAGCTTCTAGCCAGGCCTGTGTGGCTTGCTGGTTCAGCACTGACCTATGAACCAGGAGGCCATAGTTCGGTTCCTGGTCAGGGCACATGTCTAAGTTGCAGGTTCAGTCCCCAGTGCAGACGTGCAGGAGTCAGCCAATCAATGATTCCCTCTCATCATTGATGTTTCTATCTCTCTCTCCTTCTCCTTCTCCCTTCCTCTCTGAAATAAAATATATATATATACTAGTGGCCCAGTGCAAGGATTCGTGCACATTGAAAGGAAATTAATTAGAAGATGGTCTGGGACTGGGCGAGACAGGCCAGACACATCCTCGAGCCAACCTCCTGCAGTCTCTTCCTGGCGTCTGTGGAGTGAGCAGGGTCCCATTGGCCAGTGGGGTCCTTCAGCCTGGCCTGTGGGGATCAGGCCAAAATCAGCTCTCTGACATCCCGCGAGGGGTCCCAGAGTGCGAGAAGGTACTCTGCAAAGTTTCTGTCGTACAAAGTGTGGAATGCAAATGCAAGTGTGCAGTAAACCAGATTCAGGGCCAACAGTGCCCAAGCAACAGCATAACCTAATGCCAAAGGTGGAATCACGCAGCCCCAGGAGGATTCGGGCTCCCTCCTCTCTGGTTTTGGGGAGTGTCACCCGAGAGCCGCCATTGCCAAGTCACTGCAGCTCGACAGCTCCTGCATTAAGCATCTGCCCCCTGGTGGTCGGTGCACGTCATACCATTCGGACTGTTGGACACTTAGCATATTAGCCTTTTATATATATAGATTTTTTTAAAAAAGAAATAGTAGCTACCAGAGATGTCCTGCCCCTTCTTTTCTCCCTTGTTTCTGTCACTCTGTCCTTCATCCACCTCTCTCATTTGGGTTTTCTTCACCAGTTTCCTTCAGTATCCCCTCTGTTGTCCATAATGCAGCTCAGGTGAACGTTCCTGATCAGTCTGCTTCTCTCTGTGGCTGTGGATGTAATTTCACAGATGCAACGTTCTCTTAAGTCTTATTGAGATCACCGTTCAGATATTACCTAATTTTTCCTCCTGTTTCTTGTAGCAAATCTCCTTTACACAGAAACGTTCCCTCTCCTCCCTCAGGGCTGCCTTGCGATCAGAACCGCCAGCATCTCCTAGAACAAGCCTCCGACTTCTCTTTAGCCCTCGCCTGTCTCCTGTGGGCAACTGTGCTGTGACTTCCCGTGGTGGGGATGGTGAGGGGCAGTGGCAGACTGGAGGCTGTGCCGCTTTGTACAGTTCCGTTCAGGCGGTGGCGGGCACACTGTGCCACCCGAGGCCACACTTGTTACTGGTCAGGACCGCGTCCTTGCCTCTGATGTGACATGGGCGTGCTCTCGCTCAGTGCAGGGGTGCTCACACTCCGACCAGGGGTGCCCACAGAGCTCTTGCTCATTTCTTCCTGGAGGCCTGCTGGTTATATGGCTGTTTCTCTGCAAATGCACTTTGGGCAGTGTCTGCATTCCTTTGGCCTCCTGCCTCAGCACTTCCAGAAGGAGAATGACATGGTAGTTTGTGTTGTGGCGAAAGGATTCTGTGATCCCCTTCATTTCATTCACATCATCACCTGATGAACTCAGTGTATCACCAGGGCAGACTAGGGGCTGGCTCACCTCTCTCTGACTGTCCACTGTGCAGGCTCCACTTTTACCAGCCATTCTTCTCCTCACACTGCCCTTGCTCAGCTCTTTGGAGGACACAGGAGACATAAATCTTCTAGACTTTGACCTCCTGTATCCAGCGGAGGAGTGACCTGCTGCTAGTTCTCTCTAACATAATATTCATAAAGTGTGGTTCCCGGTCCTGGGTTATCAGCAGCATCACCTGAGAACTTGCTAGAAATGCACATGATCAGGCCTCATCTCTGACCTACTAAGGGAGGACTTCCGGTACTGGGACCCGGCAATCTGTGTGCATCCACGTAAGTCTGATGTGTTCATGTCTGAGGAGCCTGGCTTGAGCAAAAGCAGAAACTGCCACTGTGCCCTCCTCAGAAGTGTCCCCAGAGACGGCTTTGAAAAGGCTGAAGGCTCCCTGGAGAGTGGGGTGCTCACTGGCAGGCCCCTGGACATAGTTTCCATGGTTACTTTTCATTCATCTCAGTGATTTCAAAACTGATTTGACCATAAATTCTTTATTCCTGTCCAATGCTCTTGGTCCTGGCCCCTCAGCATCTCCTTCCTTTTATCAGTTCAAAACCTCATTCCTTGAAGCTCAATGCTTCTGAGCTCCAACTTCGCTGCACTTGTTCGTCTGCAGGCGGACTTCTGGCTCAGTGTGCCCACTGGGTCCCGGCTGACGTCTCAGAGAGGAGTCACCACGGTGCGCAGCAGGTCCCAGGGTGAGGTTCCAAGCGTATGAGTTGTGGAAAGACTGTGGACTTTGGCCCCAGTTTTTCCATCAATAAAATGGGGAAATAAATAATAATAGACAAGTTACCATGCAGTAGTGATACAAGTGTTAAACAAATAGCATATGTGAAGAATCTTTATAAATTGGATCATGCTACAACATGTTCATAATTATTGTGCAAAAAAATTAAGCTGTATGTCCAGCTGTCCCTCTGCCTGGCACATAGTAGGTGATCAGGAACTGTCAGTTTCCTTTCTTGACAGCACAGCCCAAAGCACTAGGGCAGAAGTCCCAAGGCCTTTTGTTCCAGCTGACAGATAAAGATGATTGTAAGTAGCACAGGCACCATTTTATGTTCCAGCTTCCTCCATATTGATTTGTTTATCAAAATTTTTATTTATAAGGAGCACAAAAATAAACCAGCGTAGATTCGGCAGGGTGTACCACAGGTTCTGAATTAATGAGATCCAAATTTATGAGGGTTCTGATTTATTACTTCCTTTCCTTACTCTGCTGTTGTCAGGAGATGGGATGGAGAGAAAGTGATTGCATTACAGGACAAGGGTCCCTCTGTCCCTGGGACTTGTAGCACACCCCTCCCCACAGCCCTTCCCTTCCACCTTCATTCCCTGATGAGGATGAGTTTCTCTAAGTACTACAGTCTGGTTTCTGGGGCTGTGATATGGCTTGGGATCTGGGCAGAAGCCTCTTAATTCAGCTCCAATAATTCTTCTCTTCTATAAAATTCTGGGCTGCAACCCCAGTATTTTATAGCAAGAGAGTTCCTCGTGGAAAGCTGTGTGCCCTGAGGAATGAGACACTTATTCAGAGTGGAGGGGCTGAGGGAAACAGCGGTACCGTTTCCTTATGCTCCTGATGCGCAGGAACAGTGGTTGCCAGAGTTGGTCCCTGGGCCCAGCAGCCAGCATCCCCAGGCAACTTGGTAGCAATGCAGAATCTCACGCCCCATCCCAGATGCACTAACCAGAAACTCCGGCAGGGCACTGGTAGTCTGTTTGAACATGGCCTCCTGGTTTTTCTGATCCACACTCAGGTTTGAGAACAGCTGATGTGGGAGAAAGAAGGGCAAGGGAGCATTAGGGAGCTGGGATCTTACATAGTGGGTGGTTCTGGCACCCACAAGGGTCCCAGCTGATGGTCCTTGAGCCCTTGGGAGTAAACTCACTTAGGCTGTGTCTCCATGGCTCCAGGACAGCGTTCTCCTTCCCCCTGGCACATGACAGCCACCTAAAGAGCTGCCCAGAAATGCGCTGCCCCAAGCCCAGGCCCCGCCAAATGAATCAGAACCCCAGAGGAGTGTCTAGATAGCCGTGTTTGTAAAAACTTCCATATGATTCCGACCTGCACCCAAGTTTGAGATCTGCTAATGCACAAGGTGCTCTGCTAAGAAAAAGTATGGTCTTGGTTGCCTTTACACTAGTCACACATGTTTCTATTAGAAATTTATTTTACCTATTTAAATGATAAAAGTTACATACTCGTTATAGAAAAAACAACTTGGGAAATATAGAAACATTGAAAGGAGAGAAGTTGTGTTCCAACTACCTGAAGACAGTTATCAGTACCAGATGTATTATCTTTCAGCCTTTTTCTTTTTAATGCACTGGTGGGAATTTTCTATAGCTTTGTGATTATCCTATATAATAAAAGCCTAATATGCAAATTGTCCCCTCGACTGAAAGTTTGACCGGGAGTTAAACCAAGGGATGGGGCCGGCTGGCCAACTGTGGGAAGGGAGGCCCCAGCCAGCGGCGGCAGGCAGCCAGGGGAAGGGAGGCCCAGGCCGGGAGCCAGCAGCCAGCAGCTGCTAGGGACATTACCCATGCACAGATTTCGTGCACTGGGCCTCTAGTATTTAATATAGGGTGTCCTGTCTTTCTTCACAGTGTCTGCATTTCAAGCGTATTGCAAATGTCAGAGCAGAACATTAACTCTCCTGCTCTTTTAATTTCTTCTTCCAGAATCCTAGCCTGCCTCAGTCTTTCCTCACACCACCCAGGTAGATGGATGCACTAGGCTGTGAGGGATAGATCTTGTTGCAGAAATTCAGGACAGGCCAGCACAGAACTCTTTCTCCAGTGTTTCAGGACCCATTCTACTCGCCAGGTTCGGTGATGCTGGGCTCGAGGCTGTGTGGTTCCATAGGATGTGCTATGACTCGTAAACATACACATACACAGAGCCATCCCGATCAGACCCCCTGCCTCCATGCTTTGGGAAGAAAGAAAACAAACGAATAAGGCAAGACAAAGAAGGAAGGAAGCTGAGGCAAAGGAGAGGATGGTAGGGCAAATAGACCGATGTCTGGTGTGCTCAGGCAGAAATGCCGAAACCAAGCCACGTGTCTCTCTACCCACTCTGCTTTCAACTCTCAGTGTGACCTTCCCAGAATGTCTTTCGTTATTGCCATATTACTATATATTTATATGATGAAATATATTATATATTTTATTATATATTTACATATACATTTGTAAAAGTATATGTATGTATTTTTTTCTTGACTGCTGCTACCTCTGCCTTAGCCGCTGGCTGGACATTCAGTGCAGCGCTGCTGCTGGTGAGCTGGTCCTTGTGGTGTCATGGATGCGCAGGTAATTGTGCCCCGTCTTCTTGCAGGACATTATGGGAAGGATGCTTACCGAAGTGGAGGAGCTGATCTCCATAACTTCATCTCATCCGGATTTGTCACATTAGGAAGAGGACACACGAAGGGTACAGTGGAAACCATTTTTTACTAAAATACAGAGGTGGCCTAGGGACCCCGATCTGAAACGCGAAGATGGTGTGGAGGCCAGAGGCCTGTTGGGACAGGAGAGTGTGGGGTGGTTCCACTGCAGCTTGTTCTGGTGACAGGCGTGGCTCTGACAGGAGTGACTGTAGAGGGCAATGATAGACTTGCAAGAGACATCCACCCCGCTCCACCGTGGTGTGGAGCAGGACACAGAGGCCGATGGCTCCCGGTGGGGGACCGCAGGCGGTGCAGTGGGAAACACTGCCGTGGATGTGGCAGCATTTGCAAAGCATTCGTTGTCTTCTTGGCTATTACTCCTTTTTTTTTTCAAAGCCACATTTTATAACCTGTTGTCCATGCTCTGTACCGTGGGTTTCGAAGCCAGCATGCATGTCGAGTCGCCACGTCCTCGGTGTCCCTCTGTAAACTCTCTATGGCGCGCACACCACGGTGGAGGTTCCAGACCTTCAAGCCGCAAGATGACAGCTAATGTAGCCTTTCTGCCGAGCTGCTTTAGGACCTCGCGGGCAGCTTGCAGAGCATCTGTGCGGGGTCCGGCTCCTCGATTCTGTCTTTCGTTTAAGCCGAGTCCTGCTAGTGTTGTGAGCATTCTGTCACTCCAAGAGCACCTTCCCCACACCTGTGCACTGTTACAGATCAACTGTGAGCTTGCCGTAGGGATGGCATATCCCTGTCTCCCTCTGAAATATGTGTCTGTGTTAAGTGTGAGTGAACCAGGACTTTGCAATATTTTCTTACATTCCATGCACCTACTTTTTAAATTCCCTCTGTGATGTCTGTTCCTCCTGTAGAGAAAATAATCTGTATCTGTGTATGTATTTTCTGTTGTGTCTATTTGTGTCTAAATAAAGTTTATTGAGGATACGGGTGGCATTCGTGGCTAATAAGAGTTGCAGAATCAAATTGGGACCAGCTGGCTCCGGAAGCGGAAAGGGGCTGCACAGTTAACCAGTGAGAGACACAATCCTGGTCGTCCCATATCAACTCAAACCTGGGCTGGCCCACCGCCATGCCATCTCCTTTGTGATAATTATCTGCCGCTGTGACACAAATCACTCCAACAGGTAGCATTTTAAAAGAATAGCAAACATTTGTTAGCGCACATAGCTCCTGCGGTTCAGGGATTTGGGAGCACCTGAGCCGGGTGCTCCTGCCTTGGGGTCTCATGAGGTTGCAGTCGGGGTTTCTGAACTGCAGTGGTTTCCCATCCTTCCCCCCACTCCTTGTAGGTGATCCACCCTGAAACACCAATCAATCAATAGAACTCATGTTATATATACTTACGGCTTTGGGTTCACACATTCATTCAACAAATATTTCATGAGGCTTGCATGAGCTAAGCAGTCTTCAGAAGTAAACCAAATAGAATCTGTTCTTATGGAGCTTATCATCCATTGGGGGAAGCAGGCAGAATTAGTTCCTGATGACAAGTGCGGGGAGGCAGAGAGTTGTGAGGTGGGAAGCCACAGGGGTCAGAGAAGGCCTCTCAGATGAGGTAGTGATGAGCAGAGAGCAGCATCCTAGGCGGAGGCGACAGGGAGGCCCTGAGGTAGAAGCTTTCTCATGGCGTCAGGAAGTAGGAGGGAGGCCAGTGTGAGCAGCAAGGGTCCAAGAGGCCGAGAGGATGAAATGGGACCAGAGCTACAGGGGAGCGGGATCATGCATTTCTCAGGCTGTGGACATAAGCCTGCTTTCTAATTAACTGGACCTCCATCACAGCAACATAAAGCTCATTCTCTATGGCTACCTGTCCATTAGGTCACTGTCACCTAGGACATCCAGGGGGCTTACCCTGCCCGTGTGTGGAGGCTTTGCTGTGGCTACTATCATCTCCCCATCTTACCTTGGCCTTACCCTGTCCATCTGTGAATACATGGCCTGAACTCCCCGTGTCCATTGCTTGTCCATGACCTCTACCAGGTCTTCTCCATTCTCTGCCACCCTAAGTCCTCTGAAACCACCTCTTCCCAGGAATGTACCTTTCATGTATTTTCCTACTTAGATAGTAACCAAAGTTTCATGAGCAAACAGACGTGGGGGTGGGGGCTGTCCAGGGGCAGAGGGGTCTGCTTTGGAAATGAGGATTCTCTTCGAATGTCAGGGCCTCCTTAGTCCCCATGCAACCTAGAGCTCTGGTAAAGGCCGAAGCTCCATTCTCCCTTCATTCACAGCCAACCAAGTTCAACTCTGAGCAGCACCTGGAAGCACACCCACCCCATGTAAATACTTTGGGGAGGGACCACTCAGAGACCTGGAGCATAGCACCTGTCTCTATCGTGGGAGTTTATTCTCTTCTCTTCCATTCCATTTCTTCCTTTCCTTACCCTTTTCTCTCAATTCCAGTCGCCGCCTTTTTCTGGTCCCTCTTCCTTTATTCCTTTTTTTTCCTTCTTTTTTCCTACATTTGCCTAAGGCCTTCTGGTGACACATGGTCATTGTGTAGACCTCGCATAACTCTCAGAACTAATGGGGTAGCCAGCACGTGCTTTTGAAGTTAATTGCCCCACCAACCTACCTCACGGAATTTAACGTGCGTTTCGAATGGGACTGATTTTCTGAGAACCGAGCATGGGTGCTCCCTGCTCTAAATGGCATTGGTAGCCTTCATAGGGAGCTGGAATGTTCCATCACATGGGCCCAGAAGCATTACAGAGACAGGTGTGTGCTCCAGCTTCAGTGAGGACTCCTCCAACCTCAGAGAACTGTGGTCATCCCCATGTTCCAGGTGAAAAACTGAAGCCCAAGTAGGTGAGTTCACTGGCCCGGCCAGCATCCAACAGTTAGCTCTGTTCCCTTCCGAATTCCGGAGGCTGTGTCCCAGCCCCGGGGATCGTGCCTCCTGACAGTGGGAGGAACCGAGGCGGAACCTGGGCTGTGGCTCAGTGGAACCACACATTGGGGAGCGCAGTGACCGAATGCCGCCTTCATCAGAGGTACATTTTACAAGACAGGACGTGATGAAAGGAGGCGGACCAAGTAGAGCACCAGCACCCTATCTGCGGGGCCTCTCCCTTCAGAAAGGAGGCGCATGGCCCTGTAATAGTTTTTCAGGGTCTGTCTACACTGCAGAGGCCCTAGTCTACTTAGGCAGTGTGGTCAAAATCTTTCAGGCAGGTGGTGTTTTTCCTTGAGTCTGGTAGAAAGACCCAGAAATCTTTCCAGAAGCCCCTTAACAACAACAGTGCTAACCCCAGTAACCACCCTAGTGAGTCCCAGGCCTGGGCCGTGGCAGCAAGCATGCACATGCTCACTGCAGCTGTCCTCTGCACGCAGCTTGCAGTGGCTGTGACGTGCTGGGTTCCGTACATGCTGGGTTCTGCTCGCCTTCTGGCATTTTTCCCTGTTCACTGGGTCCTTTCCACCATCCCAGGGGCCAGGGAGAGGGGTGTGTCTATGTATGAGAAAGAGGGGGAGAGGGGATGTGTCTACGTATGAGATAGAAGGGAAAAGGGATCCCAAAGCCTTTGCTAAAAGGCAGGAGCTCCAAAGTGGTTGCCCCTTTGTAGAAGGTACACGCCGTGGCCCATGTAGGCATTCGTTTTCCGTGAGCATCTGCTCTGTGCCAGCCACTGTTCCAGGCGCTGAGGACACAGCAGACAATAGGAGGTCATAGAAGACAAGCAAGAAGTATGTTGGGATGCAATTGAGGACTGTGGAGCAAAATGAGGTGGGGAAAGGGAGGGAGGGTTTGCAGTTTTTAAAGGAGCATCCAGAAGACTTTAGGAAAAGGTGACATTTGAGCAAAGTCAAAGGCGATGAAGGATGGAGTCAGCTGGATTTCTGGGAAGGGTCTCCCAGGCCGAGGGAGCAGGGATGCAGTGCCCACCTGGCTTGCATGGGGACAGCTGCGAGACTGGAGCAGCGGAGCTGAGAGAGCTGTGGGCTGAGGTCAGAGTGTGGCCTCTGGGGCCATTTAAGGATCTGTTTTCCACTCTGGGCCACAGGACACACAAAATGTTTTTCGCCTGAGGCATTAGACAGATGGAAGACTGTGGGAGGGACGGGGTTTAGGCAGAAGTTGAGGACGAGGTCAACTCACTCTGGCTTCATATTAAGTTTTAGATGCTTATTAATAATCTACATGGAAACGTCAAGTTCAGGGAGATGTCCTAGCTAGAATATAAATGTGGGAGTTTACCGGGCATGAAGCCAGGAGACTGGGAGACATCAGCTAGGGAGGGAGTGTTACTTTCCGGGTAAGCAAAGGCTCGAGAAGGGAGCCCCTGGCACCTTAACATGGAGAAGTTGGGGCGATGAGGAGGGACCTACAGAGGGGACTGCGGGTGAGAAAAGCGTGGCAGCGTGGAGCCTTGGAAATGAAGTGGAAAACACACAAGTGTTTCCAAGGGAGAGAGTGAGCAATTGTACGCCGTCGAGAGGCTCGGTGAGATGAGCCAGCAGTGACCTCTGGGTGTAACCTGGAGGTCACTGGTGACTATGGCAAGAGCTGTTGTGGGTGGGAGTGCAGCAGTCTGCCCGGCTGAGGCAGGAGAGAATGGGGGATGTCTGGGGTGCGCTTCTCCAAGGTCTGGGCAAACTGAGTAGTGGGGAGGGGTGCTCACTGTGCCAGCCTCTCAATTGGGGGGTATTTTGAAATGTTCATAATAAAAAGTATAAAAAATGAGAGTGGAAGAAGAGGGATAGGGGACTGCAGGTACAGTCTTTAGAGTTTTAATGTAAAGGAGAGTAGAGAATGAAGGCAGTGGCTGGAAGGGAGTGTGATGGAAAAAGAGATGTGTTTGTTTGTTGTTAAGACAGGAGAAATCACAGTATATCTGTATGTACAGGGATGACCCAGGAAAGAAGGGAAAAGTGAGCATGCCTTTTCTCCAGCCCCATTGCTACTTCCAAGCCCGTGCACCCCCGGGCGTATGCTCCCCTCCCACGGCCAGTTGTCTGGGCACTGCCATGGCTGTGTGTGGTACAGGGTTCGAAATCAGGTTTTCTCTTCTAGAGAGGA